CTCTCTTCTACTCTTGTTATTTTTTTTCGTTTTTTGTTTTTTTTTCTCTGTTTGTTAAGAAGTCTTGGCAACCGACCAAGCCGCCAGAATTAAGTTCGGAAGCTACGTTTCTGTACACTCGGTGTTGGCCGTCGTTGAGAGCGGTTTCCACCTCGCGATCATTTCTCTCTCTCTCTCTCTTTTTCTCTCTCTTTTTCTCACGCATACACACACGCGCTACCTCTCGCTCTCATCCTTTCTCTTTCTCTCTTTTTCTCTCTCTCTCTCTCTCACTGTCTCTCACTCTCGTCCATTCTCACTCTTTAGCCCTTTGCTTCTTCGTTTCTCGCATACTTTCTCCTCACACCATCTCGCCTTCTTCACTTACACTCCGTTTTCGTGCACTCGCGCATCTTTTCTTTTCTTCTTCTTCTTCTTCTTCTTCTTCCTGTTCCTCTTTTTCTTCTTCTTCTTCTTCTCCTTCACCTTCTCCTCCTCCTTCTTTTTCCTCTCACTCGATCTCACAGCGTTCGATAAAAGTTCTTCCGGCCAGCAATCGCTCTCGCTTCTCCGTCTCGCACTGTCATTCAAACGTACAATTCGCCACCGCGAATTTCACGCCAGCACGTTCCTTGTGTCCCATCAATTCTTTTCTCCATCTTCTCTCCACCCTTTCTCTCCCCCGTCCTTCTCTCACCACATTTCCCTCCCCGTACGTAGCCCCAGCCACGCTTCCAGATCACAGAAGTGGGGCTGGAACGCGCGGCGAGAAAAAAAAAGAACGCGTCCAATCCAGAAACGCGGCACGTTACAATTATTATTGTCACTGTGTGTGCTATTTAACGTTCCGATCGCCTGAGATCGATGCAGTGCGAGAGACTGCTTATTTTTTTTTCTTTTTTCTTTCTTTCTTTCTTTTCTTTTTTTCTTTTCTTTTCTTTTTTTTTTTTAATTATTGCCACCCGTAGCGTTCGCCCTTGGAACGAAGATGCTTGCACGGAATACCGAAGGAAAGGAAGGACAAGCGTTCCTCTTCGGTTTTTTCGATCCTCGTTATGGTTTCGATACGTCACACGAACAGTTTTTCCAACGAGTTCTCGACGAGTTGTAGTCGACGACGAAACACTGGTTTTTCGAAATTTCACCGAATTTCTCCTCCTTTCGCCTCGAGTTCATCGGGGGATGGAGGAATATCGAGAGAGAGGTTTCTCCCCAGACTCGATGGGATCTCGGCCAACAGTTTCCTTCACCCAACTTTACCGCGTGCCCGACGCGTATTTCCCGACGGACAAAGCCGAATCTGGCGGTTATTCGGGAACTACTCGAAGCTTCCTCGAGAAGTAAGGTGATCCGTTCGAGCTTTGTTCGTTCCTAGCCACGATTGTTCAATGTTCACTTCAAAAACCGGTACACCGGTTAATCTGGTTCGTAGCCAGAAAACGTTGTTGAAAAGTACATATACATCATATATATTTATATATCCTTGATAAAACTCTCTATTTGAACGAAACGATCGATCGTTCGATATTTTTGATTCGTATATAAAAGTCTTTCTATTTTTTTTTTTTTCACGTTCAGTTCGAAAATCGAAAGTCCTCCCAAAGATTCTTTCGGCACGAGCGGAAAGGAAAAAGTAAAACAAGTAGAGAGAGGGAGAAAAAAAAAGGGGAAAAGAAAAGAAAGGAAGAAAGAAAAAGTCACGTGAAAGTTAGTTCTGCTAAATATCGGCGAAGTACACGTCCGGTAATCGCGTCCTTTTGACGCGTAATCCTCGATGTTCGGATACCTTGTCCCTGTCGAACAATCGAGCGTACTCGGATTCCGGTCACCAAAGCTCGGTGGTCGGGGTGAGCGTGTGCACCTCGATGTTCTCGTGGCGATGATACCTGTCCCTTCGCCTCACCGTTGCTCGTCGCGACAACACGACGGTGAGCGCGGCTGCCGCGCCGAGCGCAGCGCCAGCCAGCACCAACATCCCCGGATGAGCGCCGGCCGACAAAGCCTCCGAGACCCTGGCGTCGGAATCGGTCGCCCTCCTGTCGTTCAACTGCTCGGCTATCGTGTTCGAATCGGCCTTGCTATTCTCCCCGCCGCCGACCACCGCCGACCTCTCGTTCGCTCTCCTCTGCTTCTTTTCGGCCTGCTGCTCCCTCGACAACGGGCCAAGTTTCGATAGCTTCGAAACGAACGAGGTGGCGATCTTGGCCGACGATACCCCGAGTTTGCTCGGCCCCCCCTTGCCTTTCTCCTCTGTCCTATCTCTGTCTATACGATTATCCAAAGTTCCCGAATCGTTCCCCGTTCCAATAATTGACGCTTTTCCATCGCTCGTCCCTCCCCGATACGACGCCCCGTCGACGTCTATAATTGAATTTTTAATCTCCGCCGTGGCGCTCCGATCGACTTCGATAACTTTCTTAGTCGGCTCCTCCTCCTCCTCTTCCTTCCGTCCCGACGATCGGATCGACGTTACCAGCTCCGGAACCAGCCTCGTCGACGTTTCGATCGGGGTATCGGTGGAGGTGGGACGATCTGGATCGGGAGCCGATCGATTCGCTGAGCTCTCGGCGACGGTGACGATAGATCGATGAGAGGCGGCGACGAGGCGGGTAACGTTGGAAGATGCGGTTAGGTTATTAAAACGAGGCGAAGGCAGTTGGATCGGAGACGGAATCGATAATGTCGAGGCGGTGGGCGTGATGACGGTCGATGGGGCGGCGGTGGTGGGCGGAGGGCTCGGCGGTGATGGTAATTCGTACAACGGTGATCCGGACAATCGGCCAGGTGTATCGCATCGAGGCGAGCGAGCGTCTTTATCCGGTTGCTGGTGCTGCCTCACCCACTCGCCCAGCCAGTACAGTTCCTCGCTGCAGTTCCAACGATTCCCGCTCAAGTCGAGGACGCGCAGTTGGGGGAGCATGTAGGGCAGGTCGAATCTCAGGCTGGTCACGTTGGTTCGGGACAAGTTCAATTCGATCAAGCTCTTGCACGCGGACAACGCGGCGTCATCCGCCAGAAGCTGCCTGGCCAGGACCGGGCTCCTCGACACGTCCAGGTATACCAGTCTTTCCGGCGTCGGCACCGGAAACGCCATGTCGCTTTGCTCCTGTTGCTCGCCCCGAAGCGAGGTTAATCCCGCCATACGAAGCTTGGCGAGATTACTCGGCCCACTCAGGGTATTGGCCGGTAACGTTTTAACGGGATTATCGGATAGATCGAGTTCCTCGAGGACCGGTAATTGACCGAGCGCCCCCACCTCGATCACCTCGATATCGTTGTCGTTCAACGTCAACGATCTCAAGTTGTACAATCCTTGGAGATCGTCCGTTCTCAGCCAACCGATCGCGTTCCGTTGAAGCTTGAGGCTGGTGAGGCTGGTCGGCAGGCTGCCCGGCACCTTGGCGAGAACGTTGCCGGAAATGTCCAGCTCCTCGAGCACCTCCAACCGGCCGAGAGCGTCGTCCTCGATGTCCGTCAACCGGTTCTCCGAGATGTCCAATATCCGCAGGAGGGGATAACTGTCCAAGTCGCCCCCTCGGATCGTGGTCAATTTGTTGCCGGCCAACCTGAGCGCCCTGACCGATCTCGTGAGCGCGGCCGGAACCCTGGCCAAACCGGTGCGGGACGCGTCCACGGTCTCCAAGCGTCTGCCCGTGCCCAACAGCAACGAGACGTCCCTCTCCTTCAGAGGATTCTCGGACAGTTTCAGTATCGATAATCCCGGGAGCGGTTGCAAAGTCCCGGAAGCCGCCGCGCTAAACCGTTCCTCGAAACGTCGAGCTCCCTCAATCTGTCCAAGCTCTCGAACCACCTGGCCCCCAAAACTTGTAGCTGATTCCCGCTCAGGTCCAACTTCTGCAACGAGTAGAGGGGTGTCAACGCGCTGTCGGGCAGATCGGCCAGCCTGTTGTCCGACAGATCGAGAAACTCCAACCGGTCCAGCCCTCGAAACGCGTCCTCGTGCACGTTTGATATCGCGTTCCTACGCAAACTCAACCTCACCAATCCCCCAAGCGTCCTAAAAGCACCGGCACTCACGTCTGTCAGCGAGTTGTCGGACAAGTCGAAACGCGTCAGCTCGCTCATATTCATCGCACGGCCTACCGTCACATCGTTCAACCGTGCCAGATTGTTTCGCGACAGGTTCAACGCCGTGACGCGCTCGAATCCGTGCCACGACACGTTCAAGAACACCAACGAACAGTTCGTCACGGACAATTCGTCGAGGTAGGGTAGAATAGTAGTAGTAGTAGTAGTAGTAGCAGTAGCAGCAGCAGCAGCAGTAGTAGTAGTAGTAATAGTACTAGTAGCAGCGGTGGTGGTGATGGCCGTGGTGGTAGTGGTGGTGGTGGTGGTGGCGGTGGTAGTGGTGGTAGTGGCGATGATGGCGGTGGTGGTGGTGGTGGTGGCGGCGGCGGCGGCGGCGATGATAGTGGTGGTCGCGTTATCGGGATCCGTCGACGCATCGTCGGCCGTGGTGTCGTTTACATCGAACCGTTCGTCCCACGTACGATCACCGATCACTTGGAACTGAACGTTCAACGTTTCGCTCACTTCTAGCTCCTCGAACAGACCGATCACTTCGTAATCGTAGGCACCGTCCACGGCCAGACTCCTCGTCCTGGCCGGCAATTCCGACAATCCCGGCGCACGTCCACGACACTTGACGCGTACGAACACCGGCAAGTCCCTCTCCCCGCCGCTCTGATGACACTCGCACATATCTGGACACGCGGAACCGCTCGCCATCAAGGCGAGCAGTATGAACGGAAGCCACATCGCTTCCAGTTACGGCGATCTTCACATCTCGATCGGCCGATGATTAGTAATAATCCTGGAACCGGTCACGCCGCCACCGTGAGGAACCGCGAAACCGATCGGCATAGGCGCGCGTTCTCTCGCTCATCGACGCAAGATTCGAGATCGAGAGGGGCCGATTCGGATGCCGCCAAAACTCGTAGTTCGCGAGTGTACACCAGACCGATGCCAGACCGCGAGCAGACTATCAGCCGCGTCAGACGTGATGTCCATACGAAGGACTGACAAACACTGCGGCGCCCGACTCGTAGCTGCACCCGCCTCTCCTCTCTCTCGCCCCTTTCGGCCCCCGAGCCGGCTGTGCGCCGCCACCCTTCCCTCCAACCTTCTCTCTCCCTCCCTCTCCCGACCTTTCCTCCCTCCCCTCTCACTCTCTCTCGCCTATTTCTATGCACCCTATATAGACGTACGCGGCTCTCCACCACCACCAGCATCACCACCACCCCGACACTCGTCGCTTTTGCTCTCGAACTCGATAAGGGGCGCGAGCGCGCTTGCGTCCTCTGACAGTGTACCGGCGACGACGACGAGCACATCGGTACAGGTAGGAGGTGGTATCCTTGCGATCTCACCGTCGTCCACGGCTCGCGCTACACTGCCTCCTGCTTCACTGACTCACTGACTCGCCTCGACTTTCTTAAACTCGATTCCGCGTGCTGGGATTTCCGGGGCGCGAGCAAATCGTTCGCGGCCTCCTCCAACCAAACTTCCACTCTCTTCTTCCTCCATGCCCATCCATCGGATCTCCATCTTTCCATCTCTCCCCTGTGCGCCCTGTGTTACTGCCCGTTGACGTTCAATTTTTCTTTTTTTTTTTCTCGATTTTCCTCCCTCTTTCGGACGAAACGATCGATGGAAAAATCGTCGGAAACGAATCTCGATGATTCGGGAAAGGATCGACGATGTTGGATGCTGGCACGTGAGAGTGTGTATCATGACTATTTCTTCGAGCAAGGATTGCGCGGTACGTACAGTAGGAACTAAAAAAAACTTTACCGTTCGCGAACTGCCCGACAGTTGGCTTTCTTAAATTCGATTCGCGTGCTGGGATTACAAAGGAGCTGAGGTGTAGTTCTCACGAAATAAGGCGAGAGGTCAGCATGCATTTTCCCAGCGTACACGCTTTCTATCTCGTTACAGCGTTTTCGGCCAACACGATTATTA